GGGACATGTCACCACCACTTTTCAACACAAGTGACGACCTTGATTCATATCAAAATACAAACACACTCGAAAAAGCTATAGTGTGTTAAATATTAATGAATTATAATAAAATGTTTTATTAAATTCATATAACTTTGTAAATAATTTTACAAAGCTTAAAATTCATACAGATTTTTCATTATATGTCAGGGAAGTTGGTTTTAAATATCATCCTAGTTGGTATTGAAAAGGTTTTAAAAAGTCTTAAATTTAACTTTGAGAATCCTGGGGGTAACCCTGTTTTTAGTGATCCTTAATCACAATTTCGATGCCAATTCTAATCCAATATCAACGACAAGTTGCTTATAAGTTTCTGTTAACATTTCGACAATATTGGACAAAATTGCTTTCTATTCTTCTGTTTTCAAAAGCCATAATGAGTGATGGGTTGACTCGAGACATAAATCCATGTGCAACAAATGCAGTAGCACCGTCCTCTCAGGCACCTGTTATCCAGGCCTGACTGCCTGTCCTGTGGCTAGAAAGGAGGACCCCCACCCCCTGTTCCCTTTGCCTCTCTGTTTGCTGGAGCTTAGTGTTTAGCTTAGCATTAGCAACGTGAGAGGATTAGCTCTCAGGCTGCAGGAGAGGCAGGAGCCATACAGCGTGCTTGCCTGCTGCCCACTGGCCCCGACAGCACAGCATTAATCGCTAACTCTGACCATTTAATCTGACTACCAATGACTGCAGATAGAATGGGGGTGGGGAGTGCGCGCACACACACACACCAGCACAAGGGGAGGGAGGGGCAGATTAAACAGTCATACTCTCCCTGTGTCTCACTCTCTGTCTCTTTTTTACACACACACACACACACACACACACACACACACACACACACACACACATAAACACACACACGTATGGACAAAAGGATGGGGATTGGAGAGAGCCACAACCTGTCTCAGTCAGCTCTCAACGACTGTGACCAAAGCTGACCCCTCTCTCTTTCTCCTTTTCTGCTTTCCCCTTTGCTCTGAAAAAAGTCAAGTTTTGGGTGGTCCTTTTTTCAGTTATCTGGCATTTCTTCATGTTGCTTTTCCTTTCGTCCCCTTCACTGCACCGTGGACTTTGGATTCAAGCTTATCTTTCGCAGTGTAGGATGGTTTCAGGAAGTAGGAACGTTGATTCTGGCCCTCAGATCCGACTAGGAGGAGACTAGCCAGGGGTCAAACGTGTCCCATCCTGGCATTGACACCCCTGGAATCATGAACCAAAATTCAGGTAAGTTATTGCAATTTGATCCCAGGACTTCTGCATATATCATCAGCACAGATTGAACGAGGCACATGGTAGGAATTTAACACAAGGACAGTGCAGTCTGTAAGTAACAGGCCAGTTTTGTTTTGGCTCTGTACTTCAGAATATTGGATTGTAAATGAAGTACAGGCATTCAGCTTTCAGAAGGGGTTCAAGTTATACACTGTTAACCAAACATGAATTTGAAAACCCTAAATTGTTTCTGATGAAATCCAGTGTGTTGAAAAAAAGTTAGAACATTAAAAATATACAGGACTACACTGTAAAAATACAGGACCAGTCTAGGGAGTGTCTCTTTCTTTTCCATATTAGGAGACCTTGCAGTGCTTCAATACATTTTTGGGGGATTGATAAAACATGGAGGAAGCTCATGTGTAAGGGTAGCAAAGGGGGGTTGTTGATTTGGAGGTTAACTGGTGGACATTTATCACTGGCAGCTAGCACTTCGCTCCAAATAAAACTGTCTTTGGTGTGTTTGCAAAGGCTGTCTAGTGCGCACGAGCAAATATGCTCGCTGCTTATTGAGGTCTGTTTAATGACCTCTACAACAGATGGACGAGGCTGTCACATGCAGCTACAGGGAACGAATGCACCAGCAAAAAGTTCACCACAGCAGATGGTTAAGGATTGCATGTGATGGTGTATTGGGAGACAATAAACTATTGAGTGAAAGTTTCTGATAAGTACAGTTGGACACCCTCTGCACAGTGTAGCGATTGAAGTAAAATGGCGGAACTTGGTTTTGGTCCTAAATCCGCCATTTTTCCTGTGCAAAAACATGTTGTAGGAAGGGATGTGAAGACAGATCGAGCTGGAGAGGATGCAGAAAAGTGAAGGTGGGTTAGGGACTCTCTTCTACATGTGGGAATTGAACACTGACATAAGTCCAGAATGGAGTTTTATTAACCACAACTCAGTCCTAGTCCAATTTTGTATCAAAAAACTGTCTGTATACTGTATACAGCCTCTCTATTTATAAGTCGTGATTTATTTAAGTCACTCATTCTTTACGGTAATGGTATTGCCAAACTAAAACCGTATGCTCTGTGCACAGGCTCATCTGCAGCTCCGAGCCACAGGATACCCTTTGAACTCAGCTGACCTCTTCTTCTATATGCAGGATGACCCCAGTTCTTGGCTTTTTGTTAATTTGGTACGCTCTGTCTGGGACTCTGGGCTATGCAAAGCCACATCCATAGACTTCTATTTTTAAGTAAGAATGGTGCTGCACCACCTTGAGCAAAGCTGGAATGGCCATAGGATTGTTATGAGATGTCAGTTGACTGATGTAGGCAGACAGATGCACGTTCTTGTATTTTTTATAGTGTAGTATGTGTTCATGCATCTGTACTGCTTTGTAAGTGTCTTTTTATATTAGCTTCATCAATCTGCTACTTTAGAATCCAAAAATGATGACGGTGCATGTCTGTTTCTTGTCTCTAGACTCACAAGGCGAGTGTTGTATCATACATACACATGCAAACACACACACCTCTGACATGGCATCATTCGGCATCTATTATCTGTCCCTGCCATTTATGCTTTTTATCACAGAATATAGTGTGTCATATGGGCAAATACTTTGATATTTTACCAATGCAATTTGAATAACAGCCAGATGCCCCTTATCAGAGTAATGTGAATATGGGCCACGTTGTATCTTGCACACAAACTGTGCTGTTTTTATGCTTTAATGCACACACACCTGTTTTCATTGCTATTCCTCTTTGTTATTCTCATGTATGCTCCGATGTATCGTATTTCTGCATCCTGCTGCAGCGATCCAAATTTCCCAAAAGAATAACTTTTTTTTTTTTAACCAGTTTCTGTAGCAGTGGGTACATTATATTGATCAGTCATTAATTATTTCAATGCTACATGCATGCATGCTTTATTTATGAATCACAGATTCTCATTTAAATTTAAATGGAGCATATTTTTTCCCACTGCTTGAGTCTCCATTTGTCTCTGTCCCTCTCCTTCTCCTCTGTCTCCTGTGTCTTTGTTTCTGTGCCCAACTTTTTAAAGAAGGGAATTGTTTCTTAGGTGCCTGTTACCAGCTCCTTTCAGTGAAGTGTGATCCAGGTCAAGTTGTCAAATTGAGGAAAGTGGTACTGACCCTACCCTGTCACCACTAGCTTATTGTCTGGCCTACTCAGCTTGTCAGAAGGTCTACTCCATCAGTCACCAGAAGTTAGCTTGCACAAATGGAAAGAGCTCCTTATTTTGTACCAGACTTTTGTTTTTTTATTTATGGACATATGACCTCTTGTGGAAGTTGCTCGATAAAGAGCCACTGGATGAATTACATACATATTTTAATTAAATCCTGGTAACATTGTTATAGTGCTTACCCGAAAGTCATTCACAAATTCCCTGTGCATTATTTGACTGCAGCGCAATATACTCCTCTCTCAATGGGATAATCTTTTAAGGAAAATGTATTTCAGGGAAAGGAACATATTGACTAGACATTATTGTGCCCAGCCTTTACTGTTTTAACAAAGGTCAGTATGAAACCGGTTCCAAGGCTGGTGTACCTGAGGCAGGGTAGACCTTTTAATACTTGTGCACACACATCTGTGGCTGTCCCATAGACCGTGAAATGTAATGCCTCTGCATCTATGACCTCACATCTTTATCCAGCATATCCTTTGTGAACTACTGTAAAACATCTCCATGTGTTAGGGTGGAGACAGAACTGTCGCTTTAGATTTATAATATTTCTGCAACATGCCACTTCACAAACCACAAAGTGTAGAAATAAGTAAATATAAAACATTTCTCACAAAATAACTGTTAACTTCAAAAGATAGCAGGTGTACCTTGAGTTGAGACTGTTTCATCAAAGATACAGTTTTATTCTTTAGAAAATGTTTGGTTCATCCTAGGCCTTTATCTGTGTTGTGTTGATGTTTTTAATAAATTAGCTTGAATTTTCTTTAGCTATGTTTTAATAGTTATAGTATACGCTATAACATGTCTAGGGCGTCATAGTTGACATATGTAAAATTGCAGAATAGTGTGTGCAGCTTCAGGTGGAGTCTACGTGTAGTAGTTTGGCAATGTAGTCTGGGGGAGTCTGATTTGAGTAGTCATTGTTTGTGCAGGAGGCGGCCCTGAAAGTGCTGAGTCACCCTGAGCCTGATTGTGACATTAATCAATAGCTTTGCCCTGAGCTGAGTGGAAACACTGCAACACACTGGGAACATGTGAGAATACAGGGAACACACTGTTTTACCCCATTTTGTTTTATGTCAGGCTACACTGCAGAATCCCTAAATGCCCTAGATGCAGTATAAGAAACCCATGCAGACTGTCAGGTTGAAGGTGGTTTAACTTTACATTTGTTTGGCCTTAATGTTTTTCATTCACATAACTTGCCTTGTTCAGTATCTCTTTTACTTGTGCACTGCGCTTACCACACTCTTGCTTGTTGCCTGACATTGCTATGTGTCTTATTTCATACCCAAATTACCATTTTGTATGGGTTCCTCCAGGCACCTCTCAGGTCTAACTTCATAATCATAACCCCTTATGACGTATGACAACACATATTGTAAATGGGTATTTGGTAAATGGATAATACTTTGTCAGTAATGTGCAGTTCTCTTTTGTGTGTCCTTCGGCCTCTCTTTCTGAGTCTCGTTTCCCCTCTCCATGTCTTGGTGTTATTGACACTTGTCTGGTTTGTCTTTCAGCGTCTTACTCCCAGTATAAACCGGAGGATGGCAGATCGTCTTCAGCCACCCGTCCCAGCTCCTCGGGCTCTGGGCAGACCTACACTCCCACCCTGACCCCTACACCCACCCCCACCCCAACTCGCACCACCACCAGCAGCAGCCCCAGTAACAATGCTGCCACCAAAACAGGTAAGTCACACTAGTATACAGGGAACTATTTCCCTCATGTTATCTCGTTCAAACCAGTTGTAGTTGAGTAGTTTTCTCTGCTGTTTAACAGTTGCTTGTGTTGCAGACTCGTTGCTCTTCAACAAGATTGACGAGAAACTGAGGTTAGCCCGCGAGCGCCGGGGGGAGCGTGAGAAACAGAATGGTGTGTATTCTTCAAGTGTGTGTGTGTGTGTGTGTGTGTGTTTCAGAGAGTAGACTGTACCTTAGTGTGCAAGCGGCTTTAAATGTATCCCTCATGTTCTTTATTTATTTATTTATTTATTTTTTCCCCTGCAACACATCATGACTGAACTTGGTTGGTAGCTGTGGTGAAGTGCCTGTTTCTCTGGTTGTTGCATAAAGCCAAGCACCCCCCCTGTTGCCATGGTACCAATGTTACATAAGGGTTCAGGCCATGGGACAGGGTTTAGGGAGGCTAGTGTTTTGAAAGTGGGTTTTTGTAGGAGCATGTGAGTGACATGCCACAACAGATGGGTTTTAGGAAGTCGTGGCCTGTCTGTGTTTGTATGTTTTCATTGCTGAGGTGTGTTTGTGTTCATAGTATTGTACAGTGGTCATACCTCTGGCCCCAGCTGAGGGGCAGAGGGATTTGCTTTGTGTTGAGAGACTAAAGCCTAGTCACATGATCTACAGCTGACCCAACACGTTATGGCTGTAAGCCTGCGTGTGTCATGTGTATGTGCATATAATCATACACTTTTTTTTAGCATGTGAGCACGTGAAAACATGCAAATGCATCAAGTCACTATTAACTTTGTGTGTGTGTGTGTGTGTTGATGCGTGCAACATGCCTCAGCTGTCAAGGAGGCCCAGTGGCAGGCGCGTGAGGAGCGAGCCAGGCAACACTATGAGAAGCACCTGGAGGAGAGGAGGAGAAGACTGGAGGAGCAGAGGATAAAGGAGGACAAGAGACGGGCTGCCGTGGAGGAGAAGCGACGGCAGAAACTGGAGGAAGACAAGGTGTGACGCACATGGCCCTGTACTCACCTTTGCATTCTAATGTTTTCACCGCACGCACACTTTCACTACAAGATCTGAGTGCAACATAGTTCCCATCCTCATGAACAGGCTAATAAATATCTGTTTTTAGTGAACCATTTACACGCTCTATGCCCCTTCCCTCTTTAGTCAGGTGGAGTTTGAATTTTATTGCCAACTCCTATCTGCACACCTATTTCCAGCTTTCTGAAAGGATGTTTTGAAGCTTTGATTTCAGAAGTTATCTTGTCAAAGGCTAAAAGTCGCAGTTGCAGACGAGGTGAGAGGAGCACGTGGCCAATGCCGTGGCTGAATTGAATAGGCTGAGGCCTCTGTCAGTCAAGCAAACACACCCCAAAACATAGAGTACTTCTTATTAAGTCTGGTGGTGTTTGTGGAGTAATAATTTAGTCTGATGTTTATCAATGTCCTATTAACGGAGTTGCTGGTTTCCTATCCAGTGGTCCCTGAATCACATCACAGTGAGTCGTATTTCAGGCTCTAATTAGGTTATTGATTTAATGAACAGAGGCTGAAAGCGTTGATGACTTTGCAACAACATCGTATCTCTTTCCAGAAGGTAGAAAACAATACTCAAGACAAGTTTAAGTGGTTTTGCTTTCATTTTGAAAATTGTAATCACAATTTATCTGCCAGGTACTTAACCAGGTATAACTGGTGTGCACAAAACACACCACACGGCATGAGACTAAACATAACAAAACATTGGCCTTGCATTTACATAACCATTTCACCAGGGGACTATGATCCTATACAAGTGCTGAGTAACTGTATTGAGCAGGTCAACGATTGGATGTGCCAGAATTTTCTTCAATTAAACAAGGATAAAACTGAAGTTATTGTTTTTGGAGCCAGGGAGCAACGATTGAAAGTCAGTGCTCGACTTCAATCTGTAATGTTAAGAACCACAAATCAAGCCAGAAATCTTGGTGTAGTCATGGACTCAGACCTGAATTTGAGGAGCCACAGTAACACAATTACAAAGTCAGCCTACTATCACCTGAAGAATATATCAAGGATTAAAGGACTTATGTCTCAGCAGGACCTGGAAAAGCTTATCCATGCATTTATCTTCAGTCGACTCGACTACTGTAACAGTCCTTACAGGGCTCCCTAAGAAATCCATCAGACAGCTGCAGCTGATTCAGAACGCTGCTGCTTGAGTCCTCACTAAGACCAAAAGGGTGGATCACATCACTCCACTTCTGAGGTCTTTACATTGGCTTCCTGTATGTCAAATAATTGATTTCAAAATCCTGCTGTTAGTTTATAAAGCACTAAATGGTTTAGGGCCAAAATACATTTCTGATCTTCTGCTTCGTTATGAACCATCCAGACCTCTCAGGTTATCTGGGACAAGTCTTCTTTCTGTCCCCAGAGTCAAAACTAAACAAGGAGAAGCAGCGTTCAGTTATTATGCTCCGTATATTTGGAACAAACTCCCAGATAACTGCAGGTCTGCTGAAACTGTCAGTTCTTTTAAATTAAGACTGAAGACTTTTCTTTTTACCATTGCTATTAATTAAATATTTAAGATTGATAACTTATACTGCACTGTAACTTTTACTGTCCTGTTCTCTTTTTCTTTGTTTTTAGCTTTTTATCATTGCTTTTAATTAAATATTTCCATTTAACTCTTTTAACCCTGATTGTAACACTGTAACTTTTATTATATTTTATGTTGCTTTTAAACTTTTACATATTTCCCTGTTGCTTTTATGTTTTATGTAAAACACTTTGAATTACCTTGTTGTTAAATTGTGCTATACAAATAAACTTGCCTTGCAGCATCATTTGCATGTTGGGACATTGTTGTTTTTTTTATGCTGATTTTGTGACTATGTCATTGTTGTTTTTGTGACTGAAAGGCCCGTCATGAGGCGGTGATACGTCGGACGCTGGAGAGGAGCCAGAGAACCAGACAGAAGCCCAACCGGTGGTCTTGGGGAGGGGCAGTGCTCCCAAACACTCCCAGCACACCAGCCGGTACATTTACACATTACACACCTACATATGGTACCTGCAAAAACTCGAGACACTTTCCAACAGTCATTACAGTATGTAGAGACACACTCACAGTGTCCAGGTTTGGTTTGAGAATTTGTGCCGTTGAGCCACTGGTACCAGTGATGTTTAGGTTTATGGAAAAGTTTTGATATCTCGTCTCCCGGATGTGTGACAGTGTGTCTCTTGTGTAAATATGTCTGCCTGCCTCTGCGTGTCAGTATTGTTCTGCCATGTTTGTATTTGAACTTTTCAGATCCCCTGCCCTCTGTTGTTACTGCTGACTCACACCCTGCTCTGCCTCTCCCTCTCTCTCTCTCTTATTCTCCAACTCTCTCTCCCTCTTCTCTCTCTCTCTCTCTTACACACTCTCTCTCGGATCTCCCTCCATCTCCTCTCTGCTCTTTGTTTCTGCCATTGTCCTTTCCCCTCCTGGTCCAGGTTTTGTCGAGTCGGCTTTCCTCTATCCACTCGACCTTGCTGGACTGGAGCACATGCAGGGTGCTTTCAGTCTCTACCGCAGATACGGAATGACCTCCCAATGTGAATATTATAGCACTGTGTCAGTTAGCCAGCCAGTGTTAGACTGCTGGCTCTAGCACTGTAACTGTACAGCACAGTTTTAGCTCACTGGCATTAGTGTAAATGTAGGCCAATGTCATGATTAGTGTTTGTTGTTTTCTTTGCATGTAGCGATCCAGTTTGTCACTTGAACTTATATCCCAAGACACAGGATCATTCATTCAACCTATTTTAGCTTCATTTTTAGATGACATAACACCCATTTAGAACTACTTCATTTTCTAATATTTTTTTCCCACTTAGCAGCATGTTAGTAGTTTTTTTCCCCCACATCTAACCTGGTTTAACTAGAATAGACTAGAGGTTTCCTTCAAAAAGAGATTGCTGGCTCCAGCTCTCTCTTTCTTCCCCCGTTCTCCACCTGTGCAATATGCTGTTAATTTGCTTTTATCACGTTTCTTCTTTGTTTCTAGATGCTGACAGGCGGTCAGTGTCCACGATGAATTTATCCAAACATACAGACCCTGTTATTACCAAGCGCCTCTCCTACTCCTCTGCCACACTTCTACACTCACCAGACCGAGGTAGTGAAAGTGAACATTACACACAGATGCCAATATTATTCACTACAGTATCCATTTGTGATGGTCTGCCTTTGGCTGCATCTTATATCATTTGTGTTTGTCTCGTTGTTGTTTTTTATGTAATTAATTAGATTTTGGGGTACAACGAAATTGACCAAAATATTTTTTTCACATTAAAAGAATAGTTAATAATTAATAATATATTTGCTTCCTTGCTGATAAATGGATGAAAAGACTGATATCAATCCCATTTGTGTACTGTTAATATAAACTACAGTGTATCAATCAATTGACCAGGCCATTTTCCTCCCTTTTGTCAGTCTTTATGCTAAGCTAAGCTAACAGGCTGCTGGCTGTATCTTCATATTCAATAGAAAGATATGGAAGTGATATTGATCTGAATTCTGGCATGAATTCAAATAAGCACAATTATCAGAATGTCAAACTATTCTTTGAAGTATATTTTTTAAAGTGTTAATTTAACAGTAAGATCATGTATTCTGTTCATATGTTGCTGACAGGCTTACAGATGAGAACAGCTTCTTCTCCTGTCATTAACAAAGCTCAGTCCAAACCGTGCCTACACCAGGGAAAGACCACCCAGCACAAAAACACAGGTGTTTTTTAGGAACTGATTTGCAGTTTGGTCTCTCGTTTGATATGTTGCACACTATGTTGCTAAGCGAAAAGATCACGGGCTGGAAACTGTTCAGGAATTCTAAAAAGGAACTGCGACTACCCTGCGTCCTGTTTCCCTTGAATTGAAAAACACTTACAGACTGGAGTGATCCAGTGTCAAGACTCGCTATTAGCATGTACTGTATATGTGCATGTGTCTGCACTTCTGTGTGTTTGATCAGAGGGATCAAGATCCCCCCCCCCGCCTCCAGCGTGACCCCTTTCTCTAATCCTCTGAAGGATAATCTTTTTGTTTTTGTGGGAACACTGTATGCTGTTTTTATCTCAGCTGAAAAATCAGCACCCACATTTCAACAATCAGAGGGACACATAATTATAGACATAAAATTAAATCATGTGCCAGGTTTATGCTGCCACGGCAAACTACACACTCAAGCGGACACTGTGGAAAAAAAACATCCCACATTTACTGAGTGTAATACGAGCTCTGCAACCATTCACTGCCTGAATATAAAGTGGTGTAGATTAAAGACTCGGATTCCTTTGCACAGTTTCCAGCCCAGTTGTATCTTTGCCCCTCACTCTGAAACCCGCGGCCTTGTGCTCTGCTTCATTATCAGAGTGAGCACTGAGCAGTGCTGCATGTTTTGCCTTTGTCTCTATTTAAGTGGCAAATCAGGTTATCATGAAGACTAATTAACTGTCGCGTTGTCCACTTCTGGTTAATAAGCTACACTTTATGTACAATTTGCCAACTTTCCTAACCAGGTACCAAGGGTGCTTCATGATTAAATATTTTAACTAACTTGCATAAATACAGCACTTATAAAATGATTTGCCAGATTAATTGATTAAACACAATGTCTTGAAGCAAGCTTAAGTAAAGACCATTTTCCAGTTGCAATATGTGCTTTGTTCTGCACTGTATATTTGAATGATCTCCTCCCTGTGTTTGTTCTTGGTTTGCACTCCAGGCTGTTTGCTTCCTCTCATAATTAACAAACTGGTGCATGCAGGTGTAGGTGCACAGTTACCACTTAACTTTAGCTCTTGCCTACGCGTGTGAGGGAAGGAATGGGTAACAAATACACTAATTATGCATCATTTGTAATCTGCTTTGACTGATTGCGTAGGCTAATCAGTGGGCGGTTAAGAGTTGTTATAAACCTTAAACGTTACGTGTGTGTGTTCAGGCCTGCGCCGGCTTCCATTGACGCCATGGGAGAGCAATGTGGTGAACCGCCTGCAGCAGCCAACACACTCCTACTTGGCTCGTAGCCGCAGCGCCATGAGTCTGTCTGGAGAGCAAACAGGTAATATACTCAGATCCTACATGAAGGAGCCCTCCTGGCTCTTACGGTTAGTAGTGAGTGAAACAAACGATGTGCGCACAAAACTGGGAATTACAACTCGCACGCTGTAGTGCTAATAGTATCTATGCTCTTTATATTTTGGTCTCTTGACCAGAACAGTTTCGGATGTTAATCAGATTTGGCCAGACTTAAAGCATTACACCGTCTGAAACTTCCTTCACCAGCCTGTGTCAAGCGCTCAAAGGTCACACACACACACACACACACCCCCGCATACACAAATGTCTAAACAAGTAAGCTGTTCAGGAAATATTCCCCTATTGTTATCATTCCCTCTCTCCTTCTGTTGTTACAACAGGAACAATCGTTTTTTCCTCCTATCTTTTTTTTTTACTTTTTACCTTTTTTTTCAGTCAGGGAAGTTTCACTGAAAGGAAGCCTCTCTCTTTTGCAGGAACGCCCCAATCTCATTTGCACAGTGAACACGTTTTAGATAGCTTGTGTATGCATGTTTGTATGAGTATTTGTGAAGATTTTAATAATGTAAATGATTAGTAATATTAAACTGTTAAACTGAGGAAACCTCTTGGATCTTTAAGTCCAGTTGGCCTTGAATTAAACCCACCATGGACATTAAAGAAGATGCTGTGCAGCCGAGAGTCCATATAGTCTGTAAGAGACCAAGTAAAGCTGCTTCTTTTGACAGTTCAAAATGAATGCATTGTTGAAGTGCACTACCTTTCCTGACATTTTTCAACATCTTGTTGTTGCTCAGCTACTCTGGTGTCTTTCTATCGGTTAAAGGACTTTTTCTCTGTCTTGTGTTTTTTTTTTTTAAACAATCACACTCTCTCTTGCCCTCACATACACAAGAACCCACATTGACCTGCACACAACAGCTCTTTTTGCTTTCCTCTACTCTGCTTTAATACATTTAACGTTGTCTTTTGCTTGTTTTGTGTATTTTGTTGCACGTTCACTTCCTCTTTGTGGTGTCGGTACTAATGTATTTATAATTAAATGTTTATTTCTACATAGTGTGTATTCAATGTGTAACTATATGTTGTTCTGCATGTCTACACTTTCTTGGCCAGGTCGCCGTTGCAAATGAGAATCTTTTTTCAATCGGCCTACCTGGTTAAATAAAGGTTAAATAAAAAAATAGTAGAGATGTTTCCAACATTGGGACTTTTTAGTGGAGCCAAACCACTCCTATCTAGATGACTTAAAGTGCATTAAGCACTAAGTGAATGGAACATTGTCTATTTTGCATTGCAATTTCAAAAGTTGTCTTAATCTCTAACCTGGCCAATCAACCATAATAAATCCTTCTCTTAAAGTACATTTATCAAGTGATGGTTGCAGTACATTAGCAGTTGTCCAATCAGTAGCACTAATGCTTTCTTTCTCCTCTTCTCTTTTTCCAACAAACATCTTGTCATTCCTCTCACTCCTCCGCTGGTCTTCCCAAACTCACGGCTTCCATTTATTTATTTTTTCATCTGACATCCTTCTCATCCCTTCCTTCGACTTCTCGCTCCGTGCTCCTCTTTCTCCTTACCCTTGCTCATGTTTCATAAATCCTCACACTGGCCTGACCCATACCTTCCTCAAAACATTCTGAACTCCCACCTCATACATCACCATAGCCATGCCTGTGTGTCCTCGCTCAGTGTCCTGCCACCCCATGGGCTCCATGTCCTTCAAAGCCCTGCAGGCCCAGCCACTTCCTCACTGCCGCAGCCATGAAAGGAGCCTCAGCAGGGAGACGGCCTCGTCTTCCTCCAAGACTGCCCGCAGGAGGACCACTGGCACCACACCGGTGGGTCGCGTCATTAACATGCAACTGAGTTTGTTTGAATATCCAGAGAATGTGTTCTCAATACATAAGACAACTGCAATATTGTCAGAAATGTAAGCTATGAAAAATGGCAGGGCTGAACAATTAATCGAAATCTTATTAAAATTATAATATAGCCTACTGCAAATTTCAAATTACAGGAGGTGTAATACATGTTAAAGGCAAAATATTGGTCAAAATAGCATTTTAAATTATTTAATTTTGCTGTAGTGATGTACTGGCCTAAACATCATATTCTACAGACTTAAGAAAACCTCTTTGTTTGGTACAGATCTTTGAAAAAGTCACACCATAATCATTTAAATGATATTTTTCAATGAAAATGCGAATAATTATGTTATAATGATCATTTTCTCCAATATCGCAAATCATATCGCAGATGCAATATCAGTCAAAATAATCGCAATTAGAGTAAAAATCATGCTTGTGTGATTAATTTAATTTTTTTTTTCCATACTTGAATCTATTTAATATAATATTTCTGATGTTGACACATTTACTGTGTCTTTGAGGCTGTACATGCTCAATGGTTGTATAATTTTCTGTCAAGTTTTAGTATTTTACTACACTTACATACATAAGTGAGTCACTGCTTTTTGCTCTTCTTCCTCTAGTTCATCTTTTTTATGTTGATGATGTCCCAGATCAGTCAGACACAATATACCAGAGTATATGTGAAGTTCTGCTCCTCTTACACAGACACACCCACATGTACACACACACACACACACACACACACCACCCACTTTCCATCTGTCTGCTGCTGTGTCAGGGCTTATGCCATTAATGTCTTTGAGGGAGGGCATCTTCTGTATTTTATATTCCACACAGTGACCCAGAGACACATGCATAGACCACAAACACATTCATAACCTAGACCTAGTCCAGTATAATATTTATCAGTGTTAATGTGAGTGAGAGTTTGGTGCCCTGCACATCGAACCACACTACTGTTTCGTTCTTCTACAAACAGGAGATGAAACATTCTTTGTGAGTTGGTTTATTTTTAATTTTGGCAACAGTTGTTTTATGTTGGTGTCCTGGCTTGGTGCCAGAGGGTTTTGTACGGCTAGAGTCTAATCCTGTTAGTGATCATCTTCTGCTGCTGTCAGGGCACCTGGGACTGGGAACCTTCTGTACCTCCTGATTACTTTGTGTGTTGCTAAGGAAATTTTAGTGAAGCTATTATATCATATATGAGACAATATGCTGCTTGCTCACCTGGATCCTGGTTAGGTTTCAAATCCTTTTGTTTCCCTCCATCTCCTGCACCAATAGCAGAAGGACCGTGACAATGTCAGGAAGTCCTGGAGCAACCTGTCACTCCCATTGGCTCCCATTCTGACTTTGCCCCCCAACAAGAGCGCCTCTTCTCCAGGCAAGAAGAACAGCAGGGCGACAGCACCCTCTCCTGGCAGGTAGGAGAACACACCCATGGTAAAGGACAACATGAGAAGTACATAAGCAGATTTGTGACAGACTTGGAGTTATGGATCCTTGGGAACAGGAAGAGGGTGTAACATTTTTGTATGGTAGTGTTTTACTGTGTATTTTCATGCCATGCTTTTTTTTTTTTTTTTTTTTTTTTTTTTTTTTTTTTTTGAATGAAGGTGAGATATCAGTAACTTAAGGCTGCATTCAGACTGCAAGTGACCTTAATCAGATTTTTTGCTCATATGTGACTCAGATCGGATTTTTTTTATAACAATGTGAACATGGAATGGATGAAGTCACATGGAATCTGATCTTTTCCAGTTCTGATTTGGGCCACTTTTATATGTGGTCCAAATCAGATACAGGTCAGACTCTGGTGTCACTCTAGAACGACCATCGTGACAATTCTGCGGTAGTGGAAGCTGCGGTGAAACACATACACAAACACACACTTGTCAAACCTCCCAATTTTTACAGGAGACCCTCGTTTTTTACTGCCCCCTCCCAGTTTCCTCCCAGGTCACTATTCTCCCAATTTCTCGTATTTCTCACGATTTATGACAATGTTCACAACTTCGTTTACTTTTCATTTCCTTTATTACTGTTTCTGTTCAGCGCACTTAAGTGCTACAACTCTCTCTTTCACTCTCTGCTGTTTCCACCCAAGACAACTAGCATGCACTTGACACAGAACACCGCCAGACTTTTGACAACTCTCATTTGAGACTCTCCCTCTGATTGGCTAACCCTAACCATAATCTGCGTGTGACGTCGTATTATTTTTTGCACATGCAGGTCACTTTCAGCTCAGTGCAGCTTACATTTCACGAAAACCGTTGCTAAATGCTAGTAAATAGTAGAATCATTTTGTAGCTAAATGCTGCTTTTCTTCCTGCACCCAGACCTCCTCAAAAGTCAGCAGGGCGCCCACCGACCCCCAAGCTCCTTAGGTCTCCGGGGGCAGAGGACCCTGGAAACCTTCGACCTTTCAGGATCACGCCCGAGAGCCCCCAACCCACCAGAGCCCAAGTAGAGGAGGAAGAAGAGCGGGTCCTCAGTCCTCCTCAGCCTCGACCTCAGCCAGTGGGTCAGAACAAGACCAGTAGTGAGCAGACACCACCAGTAGGACTACCAACAGCAGCCAGCGGTCAGTTACTACACCCAAACCCTTTTCACACACACCATTATCATGCAGCCTACATTGTTTTTTTTATTAGTGAGTTTATAAAATACACCAGTCAAAATGTAATTTATGACCTCTTCTAGAGAGTGTAACCAGCTCTCCAGCCAACAAGCCCTCAGCAGGCACCACAGATCCAGAGGAGGCGAGTCGTATCCTGGCTGAGAATCGTCGGCTGGCCCGCGAGCAGAGGGAGAGAGAGGAAGAGGAGCGCAGGCAACAGGAGGAGCAGGCAAGGTATGCTGCGCTGCACGTAAACGTGTGTGATCTGGAGAGAGTGCAAGGAGATAGATAATACTGAAGCTGTGTGTTTATCTACATCCCTGACTGTGATTTATTTGTGCGTCTGTACAGGTTAGCAAAGGAGGAGATGGCTCGACGCAAGGCAGAGGAGCGAGCGAAGAGAGAGGAGGAGGCTCAGCGTCAGGCGGAGGAGAGGAGAAGGAAGGAGGAGGAGGAGAGAGAGGAGGAGCAAGAGAGACTTCAGAAAGAGAGAGAGGAGGCTGAGAGACAGGTCGGAGAAAGTGTACAAATTAACTGGAGAAGTCTGTTGATCAAAAATTAAATAAAACTGTTTGTGTTTGTCAGAAAGAGGAGGAAGAGTCTCGACAGAGGGAGGAGGCGGTGCGACTGAGGCAGGAGAGAGAGAAACACTTTCAGAAAGAGGAAGCTGAACGTCTGGAGAGAAAAAAGGTGAGGCATTTACACGCACGCACACACACGATATTTCATAAAATCCCTTATGGAACATGCGTGTAAAAGCTGACTTTTTTTTCCACCAGCGTCTGGAGGAGATCATGAAGCGCACAAGACGTTCAGATGCAACAGAGAAGGTAAAGGCTAAAAGACATCTCTGAATATGAAGAATCTGTGTTTTTCCTAAGTTTTCATTCTCTGTATTCTTTCCAATCTCTAGAAAGTTGTTCCTAACAGAAACGGAGACAATGCAGGTAACTTCATTCACCTTATTCTATAATCCTACTTATATAATATATCTACTATAGTATTTGTGGCTGTGTCTGACTGCGGTGTTGGTTCTCTCATCATCAGTGACTGCCGCTTCTAATCCATCTGCAGCGATTGCCTCACCGACACACAACAGCAGTGGTCGCCAACCTGATCCCAACCCAAACCCCAGCACCGCCACACTGAGCCATCCTGATCAGAGGTAAACATCATGACAACTGTCACATTGATGTTATCCATGACTGTAACGAGGGTAACATTAAAGAAATTCTCTTTTCCGTCCCCTGTTTTTCCAGGGAGAACGGGGAGTTTGAAGAGGTGATCGTACTGCCTTCACATTCCAGGTTGTCTCCTCCTGAGGGACAGGAGCAGCAGCAGGAGGAGGAGAGAGTTCCTGTCATAGCCTTCAGGGAGAACGGCCTCCTAAAGCCTCTGAGTGGAATAGAGGATATATCAGCCCAGCAGGGACCAGGTCAATAAGCATCCTCTTTCTGCTTTCTTTCTGTGGTTAGGTTTTGGTGTGATCATCTTACGTAATCTGATAAAGTTGATACAGCTACGCAACACAAGGGGAAATTACTGAGCTACTACTGCACCTCTGCCCGGGTCCAGACCTGAAATGACATTAAACAGCAGTTTCTTGGCTGAAAAAAGCGAGCCAATGAACTCTGCAAGGGGGCTAACGATTAGCCAATAACCACTGGCAGGGCTAACACCGTTGTCTAGCTGTTGTGAAGCTGTGAGCCGGAACCAAGGAGGAGTAATAACAACAATTGCGACCGCTATAGACACAATGGTCGTTGTGAAATAAAAGTAGTTTGTTTTTATTTCACTATGCTCCACTCTTAAAACCCTGGCAAACTCTCACGCTATATTAAAATGTTGTTAGATTCAGGTGAATTTGTTCATCCATCCTTTCCTCTTCGCTTGGCAAACTGTAGCCTCATTGCTAGCTGAAATGGGCAGTTGGCTTAATTTACATTTAAATGTACATTTATGACAGTTGGCAGATGGTCCTATCCAGGGAAACTTAAAATACCACTGTTCAATATCAAGACAACAGTATCAGACCAGATGAAAACATTTGTCAGTAATCAAAAAATCCCAGTAATTAAACCTGCAGTGCATTTACATATAAATGAACATCTGTTACATTCAAGCCCACCAAGTACACACAACCCTGATTAAGCCCACCCCCCCAGGTAAATCTCTCTGTACTCACAGTATAGCGGAGTTTTAAAATCTGGTGTCTGTGGCGACATTCCTGTGCCGTCAAACCAGTAGTGATGTGTTTTTATACCAACCAGTAATGATTGGTTTGCCAGAGCTGAAGGGGGGCCGACGTAGCAACAGCAGAAAATGTGTGTAGCCTAAACATCAGAAGCACGTGTCGGCAGTGTAATTACTCACTGTCAGAAAGGAGAGACAAAAGTTCGGCACTGCAGGTTTAAGTAATTCATACTAGAGGGACTGCTGGGTGTATAACAGCGAAGTGCTGGACTAACTAGCTCTAGCACATACAGAAGTACTAGAACATGTTCTTTACTTTAGAAAATACTGAGCATAGTCTTCAGTCTACATTAGTGACCCAACAACACAGCAGCAACATGATTTATTTATAAAGTAGACTTTGTAAACCCCTTTTGAAGAGGTTGTTTTTTTATTTTACCTGAGCCTTCATAGGAACTGACATTTCCCTTTCTTTGTTTCTTTCCTTGGTTTTTAGATGTTGCCTGATGCCCTGTTAGACATTCAACTCCCAGAGCGACAGGAAGTGAGAAGATCAGAGAGAGGTAAGGCAGGGCTGTCGGACTGAATCAAATAAAGGACTCGCAGCGTCACAGCCAGACCCTTTCCTGAGGTTTACTTTCTCACCCTCCCCGCGACAGAAGAGCACCGCAGCCATTTCCCAAAGATGGTGTCTCCAAAGATCTCCCTAGAGAATCTCCAGAGAAAAAGTTACGTGTCCCTCAACAAACTCACTGTGGGGAGCAGATAGTTTGTCTGTCTCTGACCCTTATTACACTCTGTAATAATGTTCTGTGCACAGCCCCAACTACCCCTCATTCTGAAGTGAATGTTCTGAAATCACAGGAGAGCATTGAATGCCTATTCCATCTTGTGATTCTCCGTGTGTGTGTGTGTGTGAGTGTGTGAATGAGAGACTAAGTATAATGTAAACTGAGATCAGCTGTAAAGTCTTCAGCCATGATACTTGAACAGTTTTTTTTTCTGTTGTTGTTGCAATAGAACACACTGTAATCATGTGACGTGATAACTGGAGGTCTGATTAACGCGTTTGCTCTCTTTAACTGAACCTCACACTTCTCATATTTTAACATTTCTATTGAAATGTTACAGAAGAGATGGGATATAGGAATGATATCATTGCATGAAGTTATATTAAGACAACAGGAAAGTGTCCCGTAATGTAATATATTTTTGCTGTGTCTAAAGTGTTTTAATACTAGAGGTTATTTTTGGGGTGAGGCAGATGCTTTGGAGTATCATGAAGTTTAAGTTAAATAATGAGAAAATGAAAATACTGTTCTCTCAGGCATCTGCAAAGTAGGGTGTAAACTTCTGATTTTTTGTTTAGTTTTATTTAATTGCTGTACAGATAAAATGTGATTCTTTGTTTTGTCTTTATTTCTGTACAAACCGAGAAAGAAAAAACAAATCTGCTTTGACGTTCAGGCCTGCCCTTCCATTTGTTTCACCCTTTACATTTACCCCATCACCGTCTCTTTGCATTTAAGGTTGACTTTCGTTTTGGCCACGAGCATAAAATGGATTTAAATAATTTTGCTGCTGGTGTTAATTCTGAAATAATTTGATCATTGTTGAAGGATTTAAGAAATGCTGCTAATTTTGATGTTCCTTTGCCTTACTGCTTCGTAGAAAGAATGAGGTACTCATTGTCACTGAAATGAAGATTCTGGCCACATGCCCGGAGTCTCCAGTGGCTTCCTTTTCTTGATTTGTTAATAATATGAAATTTGATGAAATGTTATGTCAGTCTGTCTACTATGATCATAAGAGCTTTCATGTTAAACAATATGTCCTTAAAACATGGGACTGACTTTGCACTTGTTCAAATCGAGCAGTACCACCAAAATGGAAGGAAACTTCAGAAAGATTACTCATGTCTTTGTTATGTAGTACTGGTCTCTGCCAGTAGTGCATAGCATGCAGTTATCATAGTAACTTGACTTAATTTTCTTTAACCGAAGCAAAATCACTGGGAAATGACATTATACATACAGTAGGTGTCCTATGAATGATGTTTAAAAGTAGATATATTTTACTAAGACTGACCACAAGGCTTTGACAACTAATAAGCCCTTTACTTCCAAAGAGGGTCTTTGTGGGATGACATCTGAGCCACTGTAAAGCTGAAATCACTGTAAAAACAACTGTTAGGGCCCTATTGTTTGGCAAGTAAATAAACCTTTTTGAACTGATTACTCATTCACTGTGGTATTGTAATTATCCTTTTTTGATCCAAGATACAGAATTTTACTGGAGAAATAAAGTATACAGTGTGTACATGTGAAAACATTCATATTGTAATTTATTTTGGCATTAACCGAAACAACTACCAACAAACAGCAGGATACACAGAAAAATACTTTTTCAACCTTTTTTTTTTTACATGTAAAAAGGAAAATGGACAGTTGAGAAAGATCATCAGAAAATATTTACATTCAGTGACAATACTGGATAGAAAACAGCATCATGTAAGTCCAGAGATGAAAGATATATTGTCAAGTGTGTGATGCTGAAACGACAAGTGTTGATGACTTGTAGTTTTTTGACAATGGCAAGTTGGTGACGGTCAGGCCAGTAAGGTGAAGTCTTTTAGCACAACTTAACGTCACTGGATCTCAGGGAATCAAACTGCGGCAGTTTCACCAGTAGAATGTTTTGGTGAGGAAACTGGCGGCAGTGTTGAGCCAGCTTCCACTAGAATCTTCCTTAGCTGCGGTGCGGGAAATTGCTCGGTCCACCTCCCTCTCTGGGCTCTCCTCCTCCTCTGGGAGGTAGTCTGGTAGAGCTGAGTTTTGCTGCACCGTCACTCCAGATGATTTCAGAGGGATAAAAACCTGAACAAGTTTGAGAGGAGAGAAGTTAAAAGGGCTCAATGTAAACTCACACCCACAAAGTTTGGTTTATTCTCCCGTGGATACTCATACTGACAAGTCAAAATGTGTGCTCTAAGACTACTCCTCACCTCTTCTCCTGCTTCATTCTTCACCACCTGTTGGGCTGACAACACCTTAGTGGCAGCAATGGCCGATGCCAGACTCTACAAATTAAGAAACATACAGCAAACAGAGGAGGTGACGGGAATTAATAAACACCAACCAGGGATCAGGTTTATGGTTTTCTTATTCAAATATTGACCATGTGTACATCAGTGGCTTTCACAATGCAATAACACAAATGTTAAATATAACTAAAGAGAAATAAACTAATGTTTAAAGAAAAAGGCCAGTTGCTTCTTAAGCAGACTGATGGTAAATGTTCATCTTTGTGTGTTACCTCAGTGGACAGGTCAGAACGGATGCGGACAGTGCATCTCTTGGAAGCCATCTGGAAGGTGAAGCTGATCACTCCTTTGACCTTCAGAAGAGCCTCCTCACACAGGCCTCGCTGGTCCTTGATGAGAGGAACACTATATCAGTTAACTTCCTGGCAATAACAACAATCACTACTGTCATGCATAGGTGTGTGTCAGTCAGCCTACTCACAGTGCTGTCCAGCCCCTGGATGTGCAGAGTGACTGACTTTGCTTTCCTGTTGGAGGAGTTGATGAAAAACTGGGATTTCTTTCTCCCCTGCCTCTCAGCTATGCGTGGCACAGGATTGGCAGGTGCACTCAGAATGTCAAACACCTCCTGGGCCAAGGCTGTGATGTCAACAGACACATAGTCCCTATATGAAGAAAGATTATATTTAAAGTAGCAATTGAGTCTGATTATCAAGCTGGATTTAAGCAAAAAACAAAAACAGAAATTGAATGAATACAGGAGACGGTTCAAGCAAATTTCAAGTAGAACCACATAAACATACTAAGGAAATACTCAAGACAGTTCAGGGAAGCATGTACTCATAACATATAAGTGTCACCAAGAGTGTTAAAAAAAATACCTCACCTCCCAATTAGATTCTCCAAGCTCACCATCATACCCAATTCATTCTTCATGGTGGGGATGTTGGGGGAAAACTCAGCCAAGTAGCGTAGGGTCTGAGGACAAAGGAAGACAGAAAAGGGATTCAAATATACCCAGCCATGTTGCAATTGAACTATTACAAGCTGCTCTGAATTATTAACTTAAATATTTTCCCAATTTGCAAAGCTCTCCTACCATTCCATTTTTTTTGCACTATTTGCAAATAAATTGAATGGATTTCTGCCTTTAAAGCAGCCAGAGGTTTTCATTTATTTCAGTAATGTTACTTACCTTTGGTAATCAATTTTCAGAGACTAAAAACATGCTTGACAATGATTATCCATAACAGTGTACGTTTAGAAGCCTTTACTTGTTCTCAAACTTACATTATACAGTGTTATTTGTGGAAAAGGTTATTTCATCTGAGATAAACATCAATGCATTCATGACAACAGCTGTTGAGCAGCAGACTCTCAAAGTACAGATGATGCAGCTTCCAACCATTTGAACATCCGATTCAAAGTAACCCAAGCTTTCCTGTGAATTACTATGCCACAAAGTTATAACTTTGTCAAAAAATAAAGACCAAATGTTGTCCTGTGATGGATTATCATTAACAACCTGTCACATGTCTACATGTTGATTTTCATTTCATAGCAGCAGACTGTCCCAACAGTAGGAAAACTAATATTAAGGATTAAAATAAATTATTTAAAAAGGAAACATAATTGGCAGTTAATATAATGCACAGCACATCACCTGAAGAGTTGAAAATATCACTTCTGGGTTCTGGTGGTCCAGGAAGAGAACCAGCCCGGGGAGACAGCCCTGGTCCTGGACTATCACCCCCCGGTTCTGAGGCTCAGATGCCAGGTCCCGCAGCTGACTCACTACAGACAGTGCATCCATCATCTTTGTTAACGTTACCAGACCTGAAACTGACAGTGGTAACGTTATTTAAGCGTCGATTCACCCTGATTTAAGGTTAACGTTAAAGATACGGTCAATATAACTAATATATCTTGTGAGAACACTGAACTAATTCAATCCAGAGAAGGCGACAGTTAATTATCTAACGTTAACTGGGTGACTTTAAGTTAACGGAACGGCCACTAGTGTACGTTTTAATCTAGGAAGCTCGAGTTCTAAAGCTACCTAGTCTATAATATACGCTAAATTAAAGATGTCCTGTCAAGTTACAGCGCTAGCCTTAACGTTGTGGCTAGCTGAAGAAGCTAACTGCTTTTGAAACGTGAAGCTAACGTTAGCCAACTTAACAAAAACACCTTCATTTGTTGCGTTGTAATGTTTGAAAATAAACGTATGTGACTACTAAAACTAATAATAATATAAATGTCCTGAAAGTGCGATAAATGTTACATTTAAATTATGTTTGGCGATGTTTTCTTACCCAGGAAAGAAGCAGCTCGTGTATAAAAATACAAATTTGGTGCTGGTTTTTCTTCTCGTGACACAATTGGTCGACCAGCCGTTGCCGACGCTGCACGGTCGCCCACTCCTATTGGCTTCTCATCCTAGTTCTGCATCTACAGCCAATCAGAGGAGGTTTTGCTGCTGCGGCTTTATTTGACTTTATCAGACTTGCTACCTTGATGTGTGCGTGACCTCGGAGAGATTCTGTATATTTTTAGTGTTTATCTGCAGTTACAAAGTATATTATTGGTTATTTAAAAGATCTCGGACAAATGTAGCGACTAATGCACGTTTTTACAAGAAAAGGAATCCAAGGTAAGTAACGCTGCACACTTCATTACGCTTACTCCTCATGTTTCCTGGCGTCGCGCATTTTACTTTTGATGAGCCGGACAGCTTTTTACAGAGGGACACTGCGGCTCTTGTGCTTTTACCTAAACAGAAGGTTAACGTTACTGCTTTTAGGTTAAAAGCTAAAATCCACAATGAACCATCCGTTATGCTGATCCAATGCGTTTCCACAGTCGAGTCAGCATCCAACGGTGCAGACCGAGACAACTTCCTCTGTGAGCCTCAGTTTGTGATGCCACCAGGTTACACTTTGGCAGTTGGATCAATAATGGACTCAAGACAGTGTTATCCAAGTGTTTCAATAAAACATAAAAAGGCATTCAAATAAGATATTAACAAAGGACAATATAAAATAAACACGCATAATAATGCAATGTAACATAATGAAAAAACATGGAAAATTAAAACAATAAGCCAAAATAGAATAAAAATAAAAGAATTAAAAAACTTAGTGCAGTTTCAAAGTACAATGAAGATGACTACTAATTTAATTTGGTAAAAGGCAGTGCATAAAAAGTGAATGCTGCTTCTCTGAGTTAGTTTTGACTTAAGGGACAATAAGCAGACCGCAGATCTAAGTTGTGTTTTTTGTTGATGTCATAAACTATTTTTATTCTTTATAATCCAACAGCAGTACATCATTTTAAATCAAGTGTTTGACACACAGGAAGCCAGTGTAAAGCACTGAGGGCTGGACTGATGTACCTGCTTTCTTGGTCTTGGAGAGGCCTCTAACAGCAGCGTTCTGACTCATCTGTAAGCTGGAAAGTTGCCTCTACAGTAGTTGAGCCTGCTAAAGCTGAAAGCAAATTCTTCTTCTTATCTCTTGCTGAGATAAAGACGTTCCTAATTTCCTGCAATAGTTTAAAGGGGATATAAGGCTGATTTTGTAATTGCCCTAATGTTAATGTTAGAATTTATGTCCACACTACACTAGAAAGGTGGACATACTACACTAAGATTTCTGGCTTCATTTGTGGTCTTTGGGGACTCAAGTGCTGACTTTCAGTTGTTCACTTTCATGACCTAAGTGCTGCTGCATGTTTTGTTTCCGGTGTGTAGCATGTGACCTAGTGGCATCTATTCTGTGTTGACCTTTTATCAAGTCAGTCAGCAGAAAGAGGAGCTTTGCAGTCATCAGTTGGTGCACGAAAAGGTCCTTCCAATGTCTTTAGCAGAGGACATTCTGGATGTACTGCGCATTGTCCTGGAGTACTTTGGAGTGCCTCCAGAAATGGTGAGTACGTACACACACACACACACACACACATACACACTTCTTTTAGAATTATGTTACTGATTCTCAAACTAGGATGCAGGGATATGAAGTTGCTTCCTACTTGTTTTTGTGGAGTGTTACTTCCCTTCCTAAAAGTGAACTGAAGTGAGTTTGTAAGGATGACAATTGTCTGTTTTTTTTATTTTTTCATGTATGTCATCTTGCCTGTAGCTGGTCCCAGTGTGGGACAGCGAGCTGTGCGGTCAGTATCGCAGCATTGTGCGGATGATCGGGACTAACCTCCCACTGGCGCCTCCACCACGTGTCCACTTTCAGGTACCTGTACTATTTGTGTTTTCTAACAGACCTAGTCTTGGTGATTATGATACAGCTACTGTCAAACATGATAAAACTATTAGTTTGTAAGTCATGAAATGCTATATTAGTCTTACCCATATTTGTCACATTGGACTTTCTGAACAGAAGCAACAGTGTCTCCTAAGCTGAGCTAAAGTGCTCATTTGTAATGTGTAAACTACAGAATCATGTTCACATCTTGACAAAATGTTATTATTGTACTTCATACTTCATAACTTCTGTGATTGTCTATTATTTTTGTTATGTAGTCAGCGTTACAGTGTGTAATGCCTCCTTGTCTGTGATTGGTCCTTAGATCCCCCTGCTCACCTATAGGCCCCATGGTTATGTCGACATCACCGTGGACACACCAGCCATTCCCTCATTCGCCGACGTCATGTGGGTGTTTGAGGACGAGGGGGACAGCTGTGCCAAGACCAGGTAGGAACACAAATGGATGCAATACAAATGCGCTGAAAATCGAAACCATAAACAAAAACATATTGGCTATCAGACAAAATATTTTATCGTAATATGAGCAAAATAGTGGATAGTGTATTTCTAGACAAAGTCAAAGAGTACATGGTTCCGCTCGGAACAAAGACAGGCAGAAGCTGAGGGTGCCACTCCAGCTGCTCAGTATTACTGCTACAGTAGCTGGGACAAGAAAGACTCATGTTGACCAGCAGAAACCCTGAGTCCTTTGCTGCTTTGAGCGTCACTTTGGACAGTTTTTGTTGGGTCCTGAAGCCAGAAACAGCACAGGAGTATGTGAAACAACCTCCAGGCAATAGACAACTGAGTTAAATGTTTCTGCCAGTTAATGTTTGTGTGTACTGTACACTGTTAGCAAGGTACTAATATATACTTTTTCTGTGATTACTGTAAATTGATGTGGTTAGTGTAGCTGCTAAATGCCCCTTTTGAACTGCACCGTGTGCCGTTGTTTATTGCATTAGTACATGAAATGACTTCTCAAGCAAGCAGAAAGGCTTGCTTTCTGAAGGCAGGTGTAATAAGTAGTTAGGTAAAGCAGCCAGGTAAATACCCATGCTCTTCAATGGCTGGTATGAAAATGTTATGTAATCCGGTAGCTTACTTGTAGGTAGTCTGTGTGAGCAGGAGAACACTGGTCTCTGTAAAGAAACCCATTGAATTGGCCATAGTTTTTGTGGACTGCAAAGAAGAACTGTACGTTAATTCTGTACACAAAATAATGTGGTCCCCAAAATATTTTGATTTCCATAGGAACCATTTACCTCCAAAGATTCAATGTGCTGTTAATCGGGATGTGGTGAGATACCCAGGACCGGCCCTCAATCAAACCCAGAGAGGAGGCAGACCTGTAAGACAGACAACCGATACAGACGCCCTGGAGAAGATCACAGTGCTGGAGAGCGAGCTGCTCAAACTACGAGCTCAGATAGCCATGATTGTTACTGCTGCTCCAGCCTCAGGTTCACATTCTTTGTACCACGTAACACAAAAGTGTTCAGCATGTTATGCTGTACTAAGTCAAGCATATCTTATAACACTTTTGTGCTTTTTCAACATTTTGTTAGGTCCAATTGAGTCCCAGAATGCACCAGGCACCCCTTTGATGTATCCTCCCCCTCGACCTGCTCTCACCTCCACGCCACGCTGTGGTGCTCCTCCACCACCACCTCCACCTCCACCTCCACCTCCTCCCTGCCCTAGCTCCTCCACTGAGACTTCATCTGTTTCGCAGCTGATTCGCCAGCGCAGGAAGGACGAGAAAGACCTTGACAAGGGTCAGGGCTTGGAAGTTAAAGGGATCCCATCCATGCTGGACGTTCTGAAGGACTTAAATCAAGTTAAATTGCGTTCAGTGGAGAGGTAGGCAGTATGATTGATAGAGTATGGGTGATTGAGTCATACCAATATAAATATCTCCTAATGTTGGAGAACGCGCACTTCAGTTCCCCCATAGTTTCAGCACTCACAAAGAACTTTTTTTCTCCTCATTTTTTATTTTTATTCACCTTTTTTTTGTTTCTTCTGTGTCAACATACTGTTTATACCAACTGTCCCCTGAGCATTTCCCTTCTTTTCTTTGTAGATCACCAGGGGGCACGCCAATCAGAAGGAGACGCAGTAAGGGAGGTGCAGCATTGCTTGGTGACCCAGCGGCTCTTATTGCTGAAGCACTAAAGAGAAAGTTTGCCCAGCATCGCCATAACAATTCCGCTGACAAAGAGAATTCACTTGAACTCTCACCGTTCGGCAGTCCAGAAATACCTAAGGTTAGTTTCCCAGTCTCAATTCTCCACAGCTCAAAATGCCTATAGTCCCTTTTCACAGCAAACATTTTGACTTGTCTAAGTGGCAGAAGCACAAGTGGAATTGAAAACAATCAAAATGGCTGTAGTCCATTTGCGAGAGATGGTTCAAGTGCTTTGGTATTGGGCGTGCACGCTCATTGACATGGAATGGAGACATCATTAATGTTATTATTTCCACCTGTGCTTTTCCTGATTTTGATTAGTCAAAGTGTCTTTTGTGTCATTGTGAGCCTTTTTCACACAAGACATTTTGACATGTCACAGTGGAGAAAGCACAGGTGTATGTAATAATATAAATGATGGCTAAATTCCATTTAGCTACTTCTGATTCAGGGTGCCGGTATTGTTTATGCTGGCTCACTGTCGCACTGTTATGGCTTACTGAGACACTAATAAAACAGTGCTACTGTTTATAGTAACACCAGTTCAGACAAGTCAAAATGTCTGCTGTGAAAAAGTCGCATTACATCTGAGGGATTCGTAATGTCTGTTAGTAGCTGTACTCAGGGATTAGCAACAATAAAAAGTAAAACTCTCAAGATACACCTACCTGCGTGTTTCATCCCTTTCAAGCATTTTCACTTTACCAGTCACTATGTCTTATGACTTAATTGAGACCTGGCTGACAGTAACCATTCATCCAAATGAGCAGCACAAGGCAGCTAAAAGATGTACAACATGGCCAGATAAATGTCTTTGTTGCAAAGTGCTTTTTTAATTTTTCAACTACAACCTGAGGTTGCAAGATTTAAGCTCAGCAGGTCTACTAATCTGACGTTTGTATTCCAGGTTCCTCTCCACACCAGGCGCAGTCAGGGGCGC